TTCTTTTTAGGACTCCAAATTAAACAAACTCCAGTTGGAACATCAATTCATCAACAAAAATACATCAAGGAATTACTGAATAAATATGAAATGAATGAAGCTAAGTCAAATGACACACCCATTGGGACAACAACAAAGCTTGATAAAGATGAACCAGGTTCACCAGTAAATGACACTAGATATAGAGGTATGATTGGATCACTCATATACCTTACTGCCAGTAGACCTGATATAGTGTTGAGTGTTGGTCTATGTGCACGTTTTCAATCATGTCCCAAGGAATCACATCTAAAAGTTGTCAAAAGAATCTTGAGATATCTAAAAGGCACAATAAACCTGGTTCTTTGGTATCCAACTGGTGACTCATTTGATCTAAAGGGATTTGCTGATGCAGACTATGCAGGACATATGGTAGATAGAAAAAGTACCTCTGGAATGGCACACTTCTTAGGACCATGTCTAATATCTTGGGCAACTAGAAAACAAAATTCGGTTGCTTTATCCACTGCTGAGGCTGAATATGTAGCAGCTGCTTCTTGTTGTGCCTAACTTCTTTGGATAAAACAGCAGCTTAAAGATTTTGGTATAAAAACATGTTGTATTCCCATTCTTTGTGATAATACAAGTGCTATGAACATGGCGAAAAATCCAGTTCAACACAAACGTACCAAACACATAGAGGTTAGACATCACTTCCTTCGTGATAATGTTGAAACGGAAACATAGTCATGATATTCTGCAAAACTGAGGATCAAGTTGCTGATATTTTCATCAAAGCACTAGGAAGAAAATCATTTCAGAAAAATCGACTTGCGTTAGGGCTCATCTTTTTAGACTGATTTCTGCCTAACCAAGTTCTCATGATAAAAGAACCAGGTCCAATCTAGTTAGTTCTACAACTGCTTTACATTAAGCAAGGAAAATCAGTAATAAAAAAAGGGGGAAATTATTTCTCTTTCTCTCTCCTATATCACTTCTCTGAAAAGCAGGTACAACCGTCAAAGCACACGTCTCTTCGATGTCAATACCACATGATTACTAAAACCCCTCAAAGATAACACCAAAACCGTTCCCAATAAAGCACTCTCTCTAAACAAGCAACGAACTCTTTCTCATTTTCCATTTTTTCAGAAAAATCCTCAAAAATCACCATGTTTAATCCTCTTGTTGCTTACTCAGATGATGAAAATTCTTCTGACAGTGCATCTTCTCAGGGGGAAGAGAACCCCATTATTGATACAGTACCTACTTAGGGGGAAGAAAACCAACCCACAACCAAACCATCTACATCCTCCCCCAAATCAGATCTGTCTACATCTCCACCACCACCAGTTACAGAAACATCTCCATCACCAGTTGCAGAGTCACCACCACCACCTGTCATAGAATCACCATCACCACCAGTCAAAGAAACTCCATTACCACCAAACCCAGAAACACCCATAACCACTATCCCATTGAACTCCTCTTCTTCCCCATCTCACAAAACCACTCCTCAAAATCCACCACCATCTCCACATTCTCTAAAAAATGATGACATCCTTCTAAGAACACTTCACCCTAAAAACCCAAGACTGCCAAGAAAACACATTGCAGTCAAACAAGTTCGTCCGCACAGGACAGTAACTCGGGGTGTGAATGTAGTCAAACAAACTGATGGTGCGACATCCAGTGTGAAGCGTCGTCGTTTGGGTAAGTCTCTTGTTCACTCATCTGTTTCTCCAATGGTTCTTAATTCTAAATCTGATGATGTCTTTGAGGGTAAACATTCTGAAACCCCTCAGTCAAAGTCAAAATCTGCAAAAAGAAATGTGGATAAATTTCTCAAAGTTGGAAAGAAAAAATATTTTCAAACCAAAATAGTGCTTAGGGGTAGAAGTTTTCATCCTGACTTTCTGTCAATGGACATAGTCAAGCAGGTTTGTGAGTTACTAAGGTTTCAGGGGTGGGAGGAACTATTTCTTGAACCTAATCTGATTTATGAGCAAGAAGTAGTAGATTTTTATACAAACTTGATAATCTTGGAAGGAGATGTGGTATCTTCTAGTGTGAAGGGAGTTGAAATTGTTTTTGATGCAACTAAGCTTGGGGAAATTTTACATATACCATCAGTGGGTATTAATGAGTATCATTGGGCTTTTGATGAACATTCTAGTCTTCCAGCTAATTTTTCTCAAGGTAGAGTCAATCCTAGGGCCCAGACTGTGTTGAAAGGTATCATGGGATCAATTCATAAGCTTCTCTTTGAGATAGTACATAAGGGAATACTGCTCAGAGGTCACCAACGTCACATTGCTTCCATAAGGGACATGGGACTTATGAATGCCCTTGAATGTAGAGAACGTATTAACTGGCCCACACTGATCATCAAACACTTTGCTAGAATTGTTGATCCTAAACTAGGTTCTCATCAATTAGCATTTGGGAATCTTTTAACTAGAGTGTTTGATGCATTTGAAGTACCATTGGGAGAAGAAAAGGTTTTGACTCGTGCAGATATGTTTACTCAAACCATTCTTTCTGATTGTGGCATTCCCATGGAGTCGGAGCAGGTTGCTAATGCTTCTCCACGAACATCTGGTCCTGTTGCTCAGTTACTTAGGGAACTCAAAGTGGCAGAAGAAAAGTATGCCACTCTTGAATTGGAAAACCAGAAATTACGTGCTGAACTTCATACTTCAAATGCTGAGATCCACAGGTTAAAAGATTCGTTAATGCAACAGCAGCTTGCCAACAATGCAAGGGTTGACAGAGTTCTGGACATGCTTGCTTCTGCCTCCGCCAAGCCTAGTCAATCTTCAACTTGAAAAGCATCTTGTTTGCACCTGGTTCTTTTGATTGCTTAAACTCTGTGTTGATATTACTCTTTAGCCAGAACATTTTATTTTGCTCAACTGGCTGAGCATCAATTGTTGCTGTGGATGTTATCTGGTTTTATATTAGCTGTTATTGGACTCTTTTTGATTTGTCAAAAGGGGGGAAGATATTATATGGTGCATTACACAGGTTTGTCTTCATCAAAAAGGGGGAATATGATAGAATCTGAGTAATTCTACAAGTAATATAAATTTGGTGTTTTGATGATAGACAAGAAATGCAAATAATAAGTCATAGCATAACGCAGCCACAAGCAGTAAATTGACGCAGCCACATGTTGGATCAACTGTCACGTAACAAATTGAAGCAGCAGATTGACATAGCCGCCAAAATTAATGCTAAAGATACAAGTTGATACAAATAAGAAAACCTTAATTGCTAAAGATACAAGTTGATACAAATAAGGAAACCTTAATATATTAAGGAAGAAAATTGTATATAAAAAGGATTGTACAATACAAGGTAAAATCAGTAATCCTTGTTTAAATACAATTACAATTTCCTTACCTTATTTGATAAGGATTCAAGGCAGAAGAAAATTCTATAAGAAGAGGACAAACGCAGATGAGAAGATCACGACTTCACATAGAGAGAAAAGTGAGAATTATTCATCAATTAGAAGTCCTCAAGGTCATAGGTTTGCTAAGTTCAAGAAGTTCTTGAGTTAGAAAGTCTTGAACATGTAAAACTATTTTCTTGTTTCATTCTTGAGTGTTCGTTACGATTCTTTGTACAAGAAGTGGGTTTGGCTTCTTTTAGAGTTGAGTTTTGGTGAGGTTTTGTCACAAAAGGTGGGTTTGACCTTTTGGAGAGTAGAAGTAGTCCATTATAGTTAATCGAGAGTTGTTGTAGTGGTGAGGTTTTTGATTATTGAGTTGTAATCATAAAATCATCTAGTTGAATTAATAAAACGGGGTTTTTCCTTCCTTGATTGAGGAAGGTTTTTAATTTAACAAGTGTTTGTGTTCTGACTTAAAACCAACTTACAAGAATCTGGTTCTTGTTCTATGGGGTAGGTTTCTTCAAAGTTCATGTATATGCATATACGAAAGGGGTAGCCGATCAATTAATGCAAACAACATTTCAACTAAAACAATGGAATTCTACGTGCACGGGCAAATCTCAGAGGCAAACATTTGCTGGAAAAAAAATCAACAAATTTTCATATATTATAACTAATGCAAAACACCAAATAGAATGGGTACATATGCATACGGAGCTTAAGAAAAGTCAGAATTTTGATATCTAATATATAGACTGACCAGAACAACGAGCAAAAAATAAGCAAAAGAAAATGAAACAAGACGGAGAACGAAAATGAAAACCACAAACGGTTAAAAAGAGTCACCAACTCAGACTGAAAGCAACACTTCTCCAAACAAATGGGAAAAGCATGATGGTGAAAACTTAATTTAAACATATCAGGTGAAGCGGTAATTAAAATAACAAACATGCTTAAGAAATAAACCTAACTAGATTATTAGAACATATATGCCACCTTTCGTATATGTCGACCATATCGATGGTTTAAACTCACATGAATAACGATATTACACATAAGAAAGCCGTGTTGAATACAATGCCATGCCACTTAAAACCTTATAAATGAAACACTACAGACTCCCATACTAAATTTGAGAAAAAAAGAGAAAGACGAACAATACTCAAAAGTAAACTGAAATCATCAACTTTAGATGCCAGCCTACAAGCTTGATTCGACCAAATAAAGGAGCCGCTAAGAACATGTGTATACCGATGCCAGATGCCAAAGTATAACATATATAACAGCAGCGCAAAAATAAAGCGATGGTCTCAACTACACAATAAATGCCATAAATGAAGAATAAAAAATCATCGAAAAAGAGGGAATAGACCAATGAACCATTTCAGTTCATACCCAAACGGCACATAGAAATAAAAGACTCGGGATTTCGAATAAATTTACCTTTGATGGTGCAACAAACTGAAACGACAAGTTGAGAGCAGTTCCACAAATGTGAGATTTGAACACAAACGACAATCAAGGTACTTAGGAAGGAGGTCAAACTCAACACCAAAACTAAATTAGGATCGTATCGTTTTTCAACTATCTACTGAGCACTGAATTAGAATTAGAGATTTACCACCACATCATTGCATGCAAGAGGAGCTCGCTCCTTCTCTGTTTCCAACGTTTCTAAGCCTCTTACAAGTTTTCACAAGTCTCTTCAATACACTTTTTTTGTAAAAATAAAAAAAACTCCTCCTCGAAATCATCTCTATTTTACACCTTCTTTCTCAAAAGTTCCACCCAAAAATATTCCTTTAAATTTTTTTTTAAAAAAAAAAATTCTCCCCCTCACAGAAGATCCAAGGAAGTTTATATAAGAACGAAATTAGGATTTGATAAAGGGAAAAGGTGAGGGCAAAATCGAAAAAAAAAACTCAAGACCTAGTTCAAAATTCAAAGCCAACCTTTCACTGTTCAGGAAACAACCATTTTCTTTTGAGAATTTGACTTATTCCCAAAGAGGAAAGGGGTGGACGCTTAGGATTGATCCCACTGTCCTTAGATGCTACGCGACGTTCATTCTCGCGAGCGAAAGGCAAAAATCGCGGAGCAAGGACATTTCCTTTCAGGCGGTTGGCAGGTGCAAGCTGTGCGCCAGAAAAAGGGAAGGAGACATTGGGAGCTTCGCTCTTCACGCGAGGAGGGCATCGTTGATTTGACGCTCTGCTGTTGCGTCACGATTTCGTCTTCTCTGGGTTTCACGCGCGTCGTCGCTGCTTGCCTTGAAACTTGAGTAATGAATAAACATTACTAAATATGAAGAAAATAAAATAACTCATTACACCAGCCAACTAAGTACACGTGTTACTGTACTTATACTACTCTTGTTTTATTTTTGTATATATTGCCTAGCTAGGCCTGTCAAACCCAATCATTCGAAGTTATATTTATAAAAAGTTGTGGTGCATTTGGAGAAAATATATCTTCTCCTATCTTCTTTACCTGTTTTTAATGACTTTGGATAGTCTTATATTTTGAAGTATATGTATTTAGTTTGATGTTCTTGAACTACTATTAACACAAAAATTTGGATTTATTTTTTACCTTCACACTTCTATTATATCTATGAAAGCTTTGAGTTTTTAGACTTGATTTTGCTAATGTTATTATTCTATATGACTGTTTGATATTAATTTTCGTGGAGGGTTGAGTTACCTACCAATGGGATAGTGCAAGTGCCATCATGCATTAGATATAGATAAGACTGGTCAACGGAACGGGACGTACTGGTACCGTTCCGGTTCGTCCCGTTTCGGTTGTCTACGGGACGGGACGGGATAGTCTGAACCTGTAAACGGAACGGGACGGAACCGTGATTTCTTACCGGTGAACCGATACCGGTTCATTCCGGTTCCGTTCCAGTCCAGTCCGGTTCCGATATGATTTATTTACTATATATTAATTTTTTTATATTTTATATAATTTATATTTAATTTAATTTTTTTAAAATTATAAATTTTATTTATTTATTATTTACAAGATACAAGTTATAATACTTATAAATATAACTTATAAAATAAATATTAATGAATATAAGTAATAACTTATAAAGTTTAAACTTCAAAAGATTTAAATTTTGAAATATTAGACTTTACTTGCAAACTTAACAGCAACAAAAAAAATAAGAAAATATCTTTAAAATAAACTAAAGTAAAAATTATAGTATAAATTTAAAAACTATTGATTTATACTTAAAACATAAAAAAAATAATTATATTTTCGTAATTCCAAAAAATATTGTCCTGCTAATTCCGTCCTGTTCCATCCCGGTCCGTTTCGGTTCATTCCGGTTCCATCCCGTTATATAGTGGAACGGGACGGAACCGATGAATTATCCCGGTAATTTCGGTCCAGTTCATCTCGGTACTGGTCAACATACCGGTCAACGGGTTCCGGTACGGTCCGGTACCGGTTCATTCCGGTCCGGTGAACCGGTTCCGGTCCGGTGACCAGTCTTAGATATAGAGTCATCACAGTTCTTATTTGTGAAAAAAGAATCATTCTTCTCTAGTAATTGTCATCTCATATATAAAAACTTACTTCAATTGGTATATTATCGTCAATCTTTAACCAAAAAATTTATAATTAATAAGAAGTACTCATATATTTTTCTACGCCACGCTTGATGTAAACTTATCATAAACTTTTTTATCTATCGAAATATTGAATATGATGCAAAATTTTTTTCTAAGGATATGCTAACGTCTTTTGTAATAAAGCATATTTTCTAAAAAACATTTTCTACCAAATATGCCCATGTAAAATGTTAATTATTGTGTTTTCTACCTCCCAAAAAAATCATGGAATATGACCTGTCAATTTCAATTTTAAAATTAACAAATTTTCATCCTTTTTAGGAAAAAAAAAAATAATTTCCTTAAAATCATATTACAGTAATCAAATTATTTAAAAATTGGAACCTAAACTATGAAAGTTCTTGATTTGACTATATTGACAATTCATGTTTGTCACCTATAAAAGTCACACATCTCTTCAAGTTTTATATATTCTACTCCAGAAGAAAGTACTTTTTTTTTGTTTGAGCATCAAATATGGCTACAAAAAGGTTGAGAGATACTGCGAACTACAATGAAAATGTGAGAAATTCCATCTTAGATAAAAGAGTAACAAGTTTGTTCAAGAAAGCAGAAGAGCTATCTATTGTGTGTGACGTAGAAGTTGCCATAATTATTTTTAGGCCAGGAAAAATCCAACCCATTACTTGGAAATCCCCAAGTCTGGCTCAGGATGTCTTGACGAGGTATTTAAGTTTTATTGAATTCAAAAGGCTGTCAAAGTTGGTCACACATGAAGACTATCTTCAAAAGAAAGTTGATAAGAAAGAAGAACAAATTAGTAAATTAGAGAAAATGAATGAGGCGAAGGAAATGGAAATTCTCTTCAACCAACTAGTGGAGGGAAAAAGTATTGATGAACTTGATGCTAGAGAAATGAAAGGTTTGTTAAAGGTGTTTGCTGCAAAAATGGCTAAACTTGATGAAAGAAAAAAAGAACTTAACCAGGCTCCAAATCCTCCATCCAACAAAGAAAACATTACCTTATCAGCAAGTCCAATGGAAGAATCAATCAATGATCCGTGGTTTATTCAGACTATAGCTACATTAGGGGATGTGAGCGGTGTAGAGTCTGCACAAAAAGAAGGCAAAGGCGTCAATGTTGAAGATGATGGACATTCCAAGGACCTCGATTGAGAATGTAATAATTATAATGTTCCATCATTGTTTCTTTGTGTTCTCTTTTCATAGTGTGTGTCTTAATTTGTTGCATGTTCTTTCATTTCATCTTATTGTACTTTTTATTTCAATCATATATGAATGTTATTCTATTTTGTTGAAAAAATGAACTAACATTGTTCGGTTAATAAGTTATTTTTATCAAAATTTTTGGACTAAGTTGAATCTTTATTTTTAGCCGTACATATTTTATTGCTTAAGTTTACCTATGTTATTTGATACAAAAGATACTTCATGTGTGTTAACATTTAGAATTTTTACCCTATATATTGTATCCTATTTATATCCATCAAAGAAAAGTCTCAAACTTTATACACTTCCCAAAATCACAAATTTTATATATAGTATATAATCACTGCATACCTGATGAATAATCGATATATAATTATTATATCTTAATTTACAATCTATAAATATTTATCATCCCTTAACTATTCTAAAATTTTCCTTTTTTCTTAGCTTTTCGAATAAATAAATAAATTAGATTTCAGATTTTTGTGGAAAAGGAATTGTGATTGGAAAAAGATAAGAATTGACTATGAAGCGACATGAAGGGGCAGGGATTTCCATGGAGGATTTCTTCAATTTCGAGTGATATTTATGTTTAAGTCAATTGGTATGGTGGAGAAAAGACTTAGCACATTATTTGATGATTGACTCAAAGTGTATTTTTAGGATGATAGTATTTTATATATATACCTAGTAACATTATTGTATCAACCAACCTTTTGTGTTATTAATAGTAATCGACAACCATTACAAAAAATGCTTAATTTATGGGGGTTATTTTGTTAATTTATGGCGATTTAAGGATTTCAATAATTAAAATGTGGCGGTTTCTAAAATCACTACAATTACCCTTGCCACGAGCATAATTAAAGTGGTTTTAATAACCTCCAAGATACTCTCCGCAAATAGACTTTTAAATTTCTGGAGGTTTTTAAATATAATTTTGTGACATCTTAAACCTTCAAAATATGATTTTAATATTTTAAAAATTAGTTTTGTGTGGATTTAAAATATTCATGGTATGTGATTAATATTTAATATGTAATATTATTTATGTAGTCTTACAAAATTATTATTATTATTTTAATAATAAATGTTAAATTGAATTCTCATCGAGCCTTTAAAATAATGAATAATTTTGTTAAATAACACATTAAAAGCAAATCAAATTACATTAAACAAATTTGTAATAATAAGATTCAAATATTTAAATTATGTAAAATAAAAATAACACAGAGTTTTGTATAATAACTTCAACAATCAATTTTAAATCCTTTAAAATCCACATCAAAATATATACCAAAAAAAATTGATAGCTTGTCTTTATTTGGTGATTTAAGTTGTTGTCATTCAATATTTTTATTCAAAGTAAAATAAGCTCAATCTCCTTATCAAACTCAAACAATGAAAATATATATATATATATATATTGATATTCAATTGCTGAAAATATTTTTTCCTAACTTTTCGTTGAGTTTTAGGTATTTACAAATGTATATATTGATATTCAATTGTTGGAAAATATGGGTACTAGAAACAACGGTAGAGGCATTTTGAAGGAATTGTTTTTTCCATCATATGAAGAGATTGTCTTACACAAGTGCAAATAAGATTAGATTTGTTGTGCACATGAAATACATTTTTATAAAACTAAGATGATATGAGGTAAAAATAATTTCATAGTCTCTATTTAATTATTTATGAATATTTCATTTCTACAAATAAACTATTGTTTTGTGTACAAAATATGATCAACATATCTTTTGATATCGATAAATCTTATTTACAGTGATGATTTAATTTTAATCTTTTAAATATCTATAAATCTTATTTAATAGTGATGATTTAAATTTAATCTTTTGATATTATAGATCTTATTTAACAATGATGATTTAATTTTAATCTTTTGATATCTATAAATCTTATTTAAAAGTGATGATTTAATTTTAATCTTTTGATATCTATAAATCTTATTTAACAGTGATGATTTAGTTTTAATCTTTTGATATTTATAAATTTTATTTAACAGTGATTGATTTAATTTTAATCTTTTAATATCTATAAATCTTATTTAACAATGATGATTTAATTTTAATTTTTGATATCTATAAATCCTATTTAACGGCGATGATTGAATTTTAATCTTTTGATATCTCTAAATCTTATTTAAGAGTGATGATTTAATTTTAATCTTTTGATATCTATAAATCTTATTTAACAGTGATGATTGAATTTCAATCTTTTGATATCCATAAATCTTATTTAACAGTGATGATTTAATTTTGATCGTTTGATATCTATAAATCTTGTTTAACAGTGATGATTTAATTTTAATCTTTTGATATCTATAAATCTTATTTAACAATAATGATCTAATTTTAATCTTTTGATATCTATAAATCTTATTTAATAGTGATGATTTAATTTTGATCTTTTGATATTTATAAATCTTATTTAACAATGATGATTTAATTTTAATCTTTTGATATCTATAAATGTTATTTATCAGTGATTGATTTAATTTTAATCTTTTGATATCTGTAAATCTTATTTAACAGGGATGATTTAATTTTAATCTTTTGATATCTGTAAATCTTATTTAACAGTGATGATTTAATTTTAATATTTGATATCTATAAATCTTATTTAACAGTAATGATTTAATTTTAATCTTTTGAAACCTATAAATCTTATTTAACAGCGATGATTTAATTTTAATCTTTTAATATCTATAAATCTTATTTAACAGTGATGATTTAATTTTAATCTTTTGATACCTATAAATCTTATTTAACAGTGATTGATTTAATTTTAATTTTTTGATATCTATAAA